AACATTTGTCTTAACAAAATATGATCGGGAGACAAATGACAATATCAGAAAACAGCTGCAAGTGGACGCATTAAGTAACCAGCTGAGAGTGAACAGACAAAGATGGCACGCTCACATCTTGAGAAGAGATGATGAATACGTTGGAAAGAAAGTCAGAAAGATGCACTTCGGTACAAGAAAGAAAGGACGGCCAAAAAGGAGACTTGAAGAGTGTGTGAACGAGGACGGGAAGGCCTTGGGCTTTAGAGTAGAGGACACAGCAAACAGGAGAAGTTGGAGACGAAGGATATGCACCGGCGACCCCACAGATATTGGGATTTAAGCCTGTCGAAGAAGAAGATATTAACACTTGTCTTGTTGGATTTGGACTGGCCAGACTTAAGTCGGAGCTTTTAGACATTGGCATTTAGATGAAGTCTGAGCATTGAACCATAAGCAACTAAGATTATTCAATAAACCGTGGTCTTTGTATTATCATCACTTCATCTTCTGCTTCTGCTCTTACCTGTCTTTCTCAGGCAAACTTTTCAGGCTGATAGAAGACTGTTAACAGAGTTTTGGGTACCAGACAAGACTTTCTGTTGACAGGTTTTACTGGTTTTGGACACCAGACAAAACAATATCAGATATCTTCTGACTGGGATTCGGGATCCGGGATCTAATATATGTGATATTTCGGATGTGTAGATCCATCTGATTTAACACTGCTTTGCTTAGAACTGAAACAGAAAAACATTTCCTCTCTTATAATGCATTATAGTGTTACGATAATCAAAAGAGTGCTGAGCTAGATGAAGCTTTCTATTTTGCACTCATTAATAAAAAGACTTTACACTAGCTAGCTTTAAATGGAGCACACTCACTTAATGTTTTCATCTCCTCTCATTCCGCGACATTTCAGTACAGTTCTGTCTTCCATGTGTTACATTGACAGTATTTGTGGTTTGTAGTAGAGATGCATTGATACTGAATTTCTCTGCCGATACTGATAAGTTTGATTTTCTTAAGGAAAAAAAAACTCTACTAACTGATGCCGTTGACTACAAAGGGAACCCTATTGTTTGGTTCATTACTATAATATTAAAGGCTAAAATTAATAACAGAGCTATTATATTCAACTGCTATTTATTTTCAGATATCATAATTACACTCAAATAAAAATTGAAATGTCTGTTTACAACTCATTTGCACACAGTCTTCATAAATACCTGGCTTCATGCCAGATTTATTCAAACATATATAATTATAAGTTAAAAATAAAGCTCATCTTTAGTGTTGTTTTATAGATAATGTTCACAATCTGTTTTATTGGCATCTTTCCACAGTTGAAACACTGAGCGATTACATTAGACATGATACATTTTGGTCAGATATGCTGTATCTTTCAACATAACTTCTTATGTTCATGTTTATTTTGGGCTATAACTTGAGATGACCAATCAAACAAAAGAAGGCAGATTTTACTGTTCACATGAATTCAGATGCATTAAGGGTGAAAGAGTACAAAGTAAGATATAGGCTACAGCTAAATATTTAACAACTGACAGCTGCTTTAAGATTGAAATGATGAAGAAAACTATTATGAGTAGCACGCTGATGTTATTCCAAACTCAGCCAAAATGAATATATTGCTGTTAAACAATAATTTAAAAGAAATAAATATTTGCCCAAAATATGTATAAATGAACATAACTATTATGATGCAAAAATGTAAAACATTATTATGATACACTCTTGATTTTCCCCCCTTTGTGACAGTTTTTATTATATAAATATAATAAAATATAAATATAATATATAAATATAATATTTGTAATATATATATTAAAAGGGGAAGTTTTAAGGTTTATGTTTGTGCAAGAATGATGAAAGGACAAACAGAACAATGCAGGCGTCATGCCCATATTTACACAAGCAGGCACAAATACTGATTGATGCAAACAAACTAAGATCTTCAGTGGAGCTGAACAAACAGAGAGAGACAGTGTTTACAGTAATACTGTAGCTTACCGTATTGTGTACACAATGCACCCAGAATAGAGTTGTAGCCTTATGTACCTGCCAAAAGAAAAGAGTGTTCTTAAACATATTCTCAACTCTCAAACTCCACATTGCAACGTGCATTTTGAAATACCAGAAATTATCTAACTACAGCATATGCTAAAACTCCAGTCAGTTTTTATGCACCTGTATAAGCTTTCAATATTTCAATGTTTATGGCCCTGTTTTGAACAATTAAGACTATTTTATTAGTTGCAATAATAATTACCTTCTTGTGTGTTTACAGTTCCCGCTGAACCAGAACATCATTTTAAAAACCGTAATTATGGCCAGCACTACAGAAAGTAGTATTAGTGGTATTAGAAAGAATGGTGTCTCTGTTCTGTAACAGAAATAGAAAACAGCACATTTTATTAGTTCTTGCTTTCCTTAGGAATCAAACCCATGACTTTGGCATTGCTAGTGCTGTGCTCAACTGTTTGAGTTATAGTAAAGTAATAATAATACAGTACTACAGTAATACTTACAGCTCAGAGATAAAATAATTATGTCTTACAGTATTTGCAATCAATGCAGGCAAACAAATGATCAGTCCTGTCTTACAAAAAGCAACAGAGCAGCTTAAACAGACTCTATTACCACTACTGATGTACCTGCACATGTGTGACAGAGTTGAGTGATGTCCAGATGTTGAGTCTGATACCAAATCACAGGAAATGTTGCCAAAAATTCCCTCAAACTGAAGTTTTTATTCTAATTTAAGAACGCTCATTTAGATTACTGTGGAGCCTCCTGTTTTGCAAACCAGCCCTAAAGAAACCAGAGAAACTATACGATCTGTTGACATGTCAGCAAAGCGAAAGTAAAAGTCATCGACTATTTCACAAACAGCTAACAAAGCTTAGCATGCATATTATTAACATATTGGCTGTTTATACTTACAAAGCACTTATTCTGCATGACCATATTCTATCCCTAATCATACCCAATACCTAAACTTAACACCTACCTTACTAATTATTAATAAGCAGCAAATTAGGAGTTTATTGAGCCAAAAGTCGTAGTTAATGCAAGAATTGGACCTTAAAAAAAAAGTGTGACCTACATTTTTAATAAAAAATTGCTGGCTCCTTTGAGAGTGGATAAATTATGATTTTGGGGTTGATTATGTCTAACTCTATCTTGCTTGTGTTTATCCCAGTTTATAAGTTACTAACTTGAGAACCGTATTAGGTATATCGTTGTGCTTGATAGGCTATGGGAATTTGACACTTTGCAGGTGTAACTCATAATTTAAATATCAAAGTTGAGATTGTAAATGATGAAATGTGTAAATAGTATTAAAAAATGTCTTCATCCATGATCCTAGTCTAACTAAAGGGAATTGTCAGCCCTTTATATCAGGTAAAGCCAAAGAGGCAGTTAAAAGTGTATGCAAATGATGATAAAGTATACTGTAAACTGTGATTTATAACCAATCCTAAATCACGTATCTGTGTGCTGCATAGGGCATGAAAAATACAAGGAAAACCAGGCTGGGTGTTTCAATGGAAAAAGTTTCATTTCATTTGTAATTAGAGTAATATAAACACTCATCACACCAGCAAACATTAAAAATACCTGCTAATTTCATGCTCACAAAACAGCTCTAATGTGGAAGTATAGACTCCACAAAGCATGATCTAAAAAGAAAACGTAATTCATTAAACCAGGCAACCTCCTTCTATTGCTCCAGTTCTGACACTCTCATGGCCAAATGCAGCTGATTTTGACAGTGGACAGGGGTCATCATGGGCACTCAGACCAGTCTGCAGCCCCATGCACAGCAAACTGAGGTGCGCTGTGTGTTCTGACACCTTTCTATCATGGACAGCATTAAGTTTTTTATCAGCTGTTTTGGAGATGCTCTGACCTAGTCTTCTACTCATCACTATTTGGTCCTTGTCCAAGGCACTCAGATATTTGATAATCCTGATGCTGCTTTTCTGTACTGCACCAATCTGTACTTTTAGGGTGACAAAAAGTCTTAAAAAAACATTTTTAGATCGGTATGCTTCAGTGGTCTAACATCTCTCGTCAATATCAAAATTATTGAGATGACCAATCGTATCAAAGAAGGCAGTTTTTACTGTTCACAACCAGATCATGAATTCCAGACGCATTAAAGGTGAAAGAGTGAAAAATAAGATATAGGCTATAGCCAACAACATTTAACATCTGATAGCTTCTTTTTTCTCTTCTTTTCTATGCTATGGAAGTCAATGGGGACCAGCAACTGTTTGGTCACACACATTCTTCAAAGCATCTTTTTTTGTTGTTGTCTGTCTTCAGCAGAAGAAATAAATTCATCCAGGTTTGGAACAACTTGAGGGTGAGTAAATGATCCCCAACCCCTTTTTTTGGTGAACTATCCCATTGAAGACTTATTTGTATCAGAGAAAATATAACTTAACTTGAACAGATGTACTTTTTTTTTCTTGTGAGAAAAGAGAGGTCCTGCTCGTACTTGGATATAATGCATTTAATAAATAACATCATTTGTTGTGCATGTTTGTTTTTACCTTATCATCGAACTTAACACAATACTTCTAAAACCTCTCTAAAATGTATCTTGAGAGAGACTTTACAAGTAAATCTGTTGTCACTTCACGTAAATGTGTTCGAAACTTTGTGTTGGATATTCGTAACAAGATACCACAACATTTGAAATGAACAAATAAAAAAAAAAAAGCATTGTTAAGTCTTATAAAAACATATAATGATACTTGTTATTGTCTATCCAAATAGTTATATTCATTCGCAAGGCATCTTACCTGAAGGTAGGGGGAAGAAAAACATTCAGAGTTAGTTTTCTGTATGATGGAAAATTGATCATTAATTAGTTTAATTAAAATATAATTAGGATAATTTAGTTTAAAATATATTTAAATATTTATGTTTTTGACGTTGTGTCAAAGGCTATCCTACAAATATTATTAGTAAAACTCTTAAAGCAACATAAGTGTCCACAGTCAAGTTTATTTACTGAACAAACAACATTCAACATACAGGTTCTTGAGCCAAATCACCAGAACCATAATTGATGAACTGGCTCAAAATCTCAGCAGGAAGTTCCCCAAGAACAGGGCCATGTAATAAAACACTGAAGATACAGAAACACTGATACGGTATATTATAAGCATAATTTTCAAATGTCCAAAATAAACTGAGCACACTGTGTGTCTTAACACTGTAATACAAATTAATTTGTTCTTTCCAAGACAAGTCACAAGTCTAGACAGGATGGTGCTTGGTTTTGTTGGCAGCTCTGTTGTGAAAAGATGGATCAGCTCTTTCTCAAGTCTGGGCAGGATAATTAAATAGAAGAAAATGAATTGACAGTGCCACAAGGAATGTTATGATAGTTCCTGACAAAATGTGGCTTTGTCCTTATATCGGTCTGTAATGGCCTCAGGGATGTGATTAAATTATTCAGTTAAAACAGATAAAACATTGACATCCAGTCAAAGAAAAAGGACCAAATAATGGTTATTATAGATATGTAAAAGCAAATAAAAATACATATCAGGGTCCAGCAACAAAAAGCTTAACACTTGCTATATACAACATATCTCTATCAATGCTTCTCATACTTAATGCACATTAATTCAATGCAGTCACAAGCTTTTTCACTGTTTTTATCCAAATGGCATTAAAGTCATGATCATGCTATACCAAGTTTTGGTTATATAATTACTTTGTTCATGATCTTAGAGTGCTGAGACACAGCATCATATGGAATAGCTGTATCAGAGATCTGTCGTACGTACATCTACTGCAGTCTGTTGGATTGTCAGATCATCATTTGAGTGCATAATGTTTTCTGCTCCATCAGATTGCTGTAAGAATATGGAGAAACGATCAAAAAAAGAAAAACACAAAGGAGCAGTGTTGATGAGAGCTACACACTGTGAAAACTAAAAGAGGTGGAAGGAATAATTGGAGAATAAAGTCAAATATAAAATAAGAGTAAAATGTTCATCTGCAAACATTACTTTGAGTTTTACTTTTAACTTCACTTTTCACAAAAGTGATGATCATTCTATAAAACGACATCTCCTTTCCTCCCTCCAACCATTATCCAGTGAATCTACTCAAGAGATTTTGGTCTTGATTCATTTACTTCATTAGTGAAAAAAGTCTAATTAAAGAGATCGCCAAGATGAAGTTCATAGTGTTCAGAACACCCCAGAAAGTATGCAATTTGAAATTAAGATGATATCAAGAAACTAAATAGTAAAAGTTTTCACACCATTCTTTTGGTAAGCAAAGTAATCATATCACCACTTATTGGTGCACACTCAAAATTGCCATTCCACATATGGTCTCATATGCAATTGTCATGTTTTGCTGCAGGAGAGCAATTGCAAGTAAATGTCATTTGCAGGAATGTAATATGACTATTGTACAAAGTAACGATTATCTTCATTAACACTGTGAAAGTGAGAAGCAGGCACAATGGCAATACAATCATTGATAGCTTGGTACAATATGAGAAACACGACTAAACATGCGTCATCATTTTCAAATTCCTCCATTTTCACAGTCCACACTATAAAGCTATAACAAATTCAAACTATAAAAATGTATGTGAATCTCAAATGGAGGCAAGAAGAAAAATCATTTTGAACTTGACATTATTTTACACCAAGAACAGTTTCAATACTAACCTCCACATCTTGCTCGTTTGAAGATGAAATAGATCATCACACCTAGCGCAGTCATGACCAAAAACACTAAAATAGGTATTAGCAGCAGTACATTATGTGAACGTTGGTAGAGTTCTGTAAGGGACAAAGACAATTTTGAAATTAACATATCTGGGTCCTTCCAGGACCAAACAAAAGTGTAAACCACAGGTGTTTTTATGTAACAGTCACAGAAAAGACAGTACGTGGAAATGTATTTAAATATGTTGATATCTGTATATGTAAGTTCGTTGTATCTGAAATGTGATGTTCATGCTTTTTAATGACTTTTATTTATAATCATTACAATGTAAGTGAAGGCAATTCACACAAAATTAAACACATCACCAGTAAAAAGAGAGTGTAAAATCACAGCTGACGCACCTGAACATGTGTGACAGAGTTGACTAATGTCCAAAAGTTTGGTTTGGTTGCTGATGGGATTGTTGAGCACACAGCTGTAGGTGTTTATATCCTGATATTCCACCTCCAGAGGTAGAGAGAGACTGATGCTGAGATCAGACACACTGATGCTGGACAATAAACTGTTTCCTTTGTACCAGGAGAGAGTCACATGACCCACATTCAACACTGAACACAACAGTGAACAATTCTGGTTTGATGAAGAACATTGTGAAGAGATATTGGTGATGACAGGAACAGGTAAAGAACCTGAAAAACAAATACGTAGCTATATTAAAAAAAAAACTACAACAATAATTCAGATGGCCGCTGTCTGATTTATAACTTGCTTACCGTATTGTTGAGCACACAGCTGTAGGTGTTTATATCCTGATATTCCACCTCCAGAGGTAGAGAGAGACTGATGCTGAGATCAGACACACTGATGCTGGACAATAAACTGTTTCCTTTGTACCAGGAGAGAGTCACATGACCCACATTCAACACTGAACACAACAATGAACAATTCTGGTTTGATGAAGAACATTGTGAAGAGATATTGGTGATGACAGGAACAGGTAAAGAACCTGAAAAACAAATACATAGCTATATTAAAAAAAAAATTACAATAATTCAGATGGCCGCTGTCTGATTTATAACTTGCTTACCGTAGACAGTAGCACCAAAACATTTGAATGCTTCCAAGTCTCCACTTCTGGTCTTTCTAAATTCGTAATGTCCAGTGTCTTTTGTGCTGCTATTCCTGATTTTGAGAGTTCCAGTCTGACGATCAAGCTTAAATCTCTCTCTGAATCTCTCATCATCACATGTTATCGTTTTCTCATCACTGATTTTAGCTATACATAGATTTTCATTTTCAAACCTCCACTGTATCACATCATCTACCTGTAGTTTAGTAGAATCCGGGTAAAAAGTCACAGAATCTCCCTCCATCACTATTGGAATGCTTTGTTAATGTTCAGTTGTGAAGTCACTCTACTCACATGTTCCGGATAAGATTTGTGGTAAAAAGTCACAGAATCTCCCTCCATCACTGAAACTCTCTCAGTAAATCTCGGACCTGCAGAACACAATTCCAGTCGAACCTGTTATGCCACTTCAAAACAGTCTTTGTGCAAGTCCTTTACTTTATTGGAATGCTTTGTTAATGTTCAGTTGTGAAGTCACTCTACTCACATGTTCCGGATAAGATTTGCGGAGATTCCACCAGGGTCAAGATGATAATACTATAACCTACAATGTTCAAAAGACAGTGTTTAATTCGACACCGCTGGAGAGCATTTCTACTGTGAACGATTACAATATCATTAGGTTTAATTACGAAATCTTATCACGAGTTGTAAATTATTGTAAAGTAAAAACAAAAACATAGCACTCACCTTGCACACGCAAAATGAACAAAGCACGCGAGAAAAACATATTCTGCATCAACAAGTGTCTTCAAAAATCATATTTAATCACAAGAGTCCCCAGCGGAAAGAGTGAAGAGATCCATCTACGCGCCCATCTAAATCACGTGACACGCCTCATTGCTTCGAAAACTCCACAGAAGTGTCAGAACAGTGCTGCGTTCAGCCCCGACAAAACGGTGCAAAACGTTGTTTAAACGGAAACGGTGGTGCGTGGGTTCTGGATAACATAATCATTCAACTCGGAAGCTCCGAAGCTTGTATAAAAACAACAACAACAACAACACACATTTCACATCAAAGCACTGTATCGGAGCTTGTTTCGTTTTTGCCAAAAGCACGTGATCTATGACGTTTGAAGCTTCGTTCTTCTGAAAACCACGTGACTGCGTCAGTATCTTTTTCAAACGCCGTTTCCTTTACATTATTTCACATTATAATGCGTTACAATTGTTTTTTTTCTCAATATCGTAATTAAATATAAAGCTCAAATGAACTTTGCCTATGAAATAACAGGACTGAGGCAGAGTTAAAATAGACAGATCATGAATTTAATTTATACATTTATTTATTGCCAATAAAGTTTCACATTCCGTATACCTGCCGTAGTCAAACTTGGATAAAGCCTGAGAAGTAATTTTGTGAAAGTGATACAAGGATTAAATCAAGCAGCAGGTTTGTTTTTAAAAACATTATTTTTGTAAAGTTTGGTGTTTGTTAGGTTGAAAGCTTTCAGAGGCTTCTTTGTTTTCTAATGTTTAAATCAAAACATGTAGTATGAAGCAACACGTATAGTTTGTTGGATATTTAGTAACAGTTTGTCTCTGTTAATCTATCATTCACGTCCGTCTTTCAGGTATTGATATGCAGCTAAAAGAGTTTAGTGATCAGTGTTGGAGGGAGATTCTGTCATACACGGGTGTTACTGAAATAGATGATCATATAATGTGGACTTTTGGGTCACAACATACCTAGCATTCCATATAATATTTTAGACATTTATTCGAGGTGTTTAGGGTTCTGGATAACATAATCATTCAACTCGGAAGCTCCGAAGCTTGTATAAAAACAACAACAACAACAACACACATTTCACATCAAAGCACTGTATCGGAGCTTGTTTCGTTTTTGCCAAAAGCACGTGATCTATGACGTTTGAAGCTTCGTTCTTCTGAAAACCACGTGACTGCGTCAGTATCTTTTTCAAACGCAGTTTCCTTTACATTATTTCACTTTATAATGCGTTACAATTGTTTTTTTTCTCAATATCGTAATTAAATATAAAGCTCAAATGAACTTTGCCTATGAAATAACAGGACTGAGGCAGAGTTAAAATAGACAGATCATGAATTTAATTTATACATTTATTTATTGCCAATAAAGTTTCACATTCCGTATACCTGCCTTAGTCAAACTTGGATAAAGCCTGAGAAGTAATTTTGTGAAAGTGATACAAGGATTAAATCAAGCAGCAGGTTTGTTTTTAAAAACATTATTTTTGTAAAGTTTGGTGTTTGTTAGGTTGAAAGCTTTCAGAGGCTTCTTTGTTTTCTAATGTTTAAATCAAAACATGTAGTATGAAGCAACACGTATAGTTTGTTGGATATTTAGTAACAGTTTGTCTCTGTTAATCTATCATTCACGTCCGTCTTTCAGGTATTGATATGCAGCTAAAAGAGTTTAGTGATCAGTGTTGGAGGGAGATTCTGTCATACACGGGTGTTACTGAAATAGATGATCATATAATGTGGACTTTTGGGTCACAACATACCTAGCATTCCATATAATATTTTAGACATTTATTCGAGCATTCCCAGATAGCAAGAACGTTTGGGCCAAATGTGGCTGATAGCTGTCACATTTGGCCTAGGTATGGCATGGCTGAGCACATATGGTCCAAAGTTTAACTGTATATGTTTTGCCATGGATTTAGAATTGGAGGGAATTTTCTTTTGGATGACAATTTTTTTGAGGTATATGGTCCAGATGCTAGCACACAACTGAGAGCCATGTGTGGCTTGGCTATGGCACACCAGGGAATATGTTAACTTATGGTTAACATTTGGCTTTTATTTGGAAAAACACATATAAACTGCTGGCAGGTCAGTGGCAGTCCACATCTCAGCCCATTCAACAATGCTATTGGTTGCTTTGTGTCTTCCCTTATTCCTATTGGTGGATTACTGAAATTTTGAAAATATATCCGTTATTTCCCGCTCTGCTTCCTCTTTCGCCGTTAAAAAAAGATGATGAAAAAGCTCCCTGATTAGAAAAAAAGGCTGATTAGAACTGTGTGGGCAGCTTCTGTGGAGCACACAATGAATGTACTTGAAATGGTACACTTATTTATTTATTTATTGGCATGTCGATACTTGCCTTTTTCACATGGTTGTTTACATCTTCTGTGGTAAATAAAACCTATGAACAGATATGAACACCTGTAACAGCTACTGCCATTATGAGATGTGAACGCTCATAATGCACAGATTCTGTAATGCACAGAAAATAGTTATCTAGTTTAAAGTTTTAAATAAATATGATTATTGAAATGTGATTTAACATGTTAGGTTTCACCTAAGCAGGTGTTTAGTGTTTTCATGTCTTTATGATCAAAAGTCCAACGACCTATCAGGTCTTTACTGTACAGCTCAAAACTTATTGTAAAAGAAATTCCACTAAAGGCGAGTTTAAAGAACCCACATGCAGTTTAATAAAGCAAAGACTAATACAAACTAAGCAAAAAAAGATGATGACTTGAATAGAACTATACTTGAACATGAACTTGAGCAGGACAAAAACTTACCAAACAACAGATACATCAAAGAAAGCTAGACAAGAGACAATGGGAGCATGAAGGCTATACTGTATATTAAAACACTGTGACATTTCTCAAAGTATCTTGTTTTATTGTTCCACAGAAGAAAGTCATACAGGTTTGGGATGACATGAAGGTAAACTATCCCTTTAAGTTAGAGTAGACTGCTAACAGTATATTAAAACAGATTTAAATAACCAGTCAAACACATAGAAACGGCATCAGATCCAATTAATTCAACTTTATTTTTGATTAAATGAAACCTGTTACACTGAGATATACAAAACGACAGACATTTTAACTGATATTTAACACGAGACATAGTACTAACTGTTATTTAGTAAAGAGTTCTGGAGTATCTGGGTTTGGTGTTTATCATGTGCACAATGATGATGAAGTCAAGTTTCAATACATTTGTGGTGCTTCTAGGTGGTTTTACTAGCTGGTTGCTTTCAGTAGGTCTGCTAGGTGAATACCGTAAGTCTGATCACTTAAGTAGTAATAGCAAACCTCTCCTAATTTGAGTCATCATTCATGTCTGGAGCACAAATTGTAACTGTAACAGTAAATACATATAGTTATAGTGATGCTTGCCTTAAAGGGATAGTTCACCCAAAAATGAAAATTAGATGTTTATCTGCTTACCCCGGTAATGCACTTATAAGTCTGCGATCCGCCGTAAAGCAAGAAGAAGAAGAAGAAGACACGTCACGCTCAGGCTGAAGAAGAAGACACGAACGCGCTCAGGACAGTTCAGACATTCAGACACAGAGGTAAAAAACGATATAAATACTGTTCAGTTTCTTGCACAGACCGATCGTTTTGTGTCTTTACACATCAATGTATCGTCACGAGCCGCAGGGTTTAATTTGGTTTTGTTTGTGTATGTTTTATGACTCTCAAAGCCGTGATTCCTATCCACTTACATTATAGGACTGACAGACTGCAACGGTTTGACTTAAAAATCTCCGTTTGTGTTCTACTGAAGAAACAAAGTCACCTACATCTTGGATGCCCTGGGGGTAAGCAGATAAACATCAACTTTTCATTTTTGGGTGAACTATCCCTTTAAACAGACTGAGTTGTCTGGTTCCTGAATACTGAACGCAGCAAAAAGTTCCTGGTCCTCAGGAAAATCTGCATCAAACATGTACAAGAGTTCAGGCTCTGGGCTCAACCTATAGAAGAAAATCGAACCAGCCTCCTGGTCCAGGAACACACCGACTTTTCTGGTGGACTCTGTTTGAAGTGGTTTAGTTAGTGATTCAGTTTTTTTGTCATGAGCCACAAATAAATTTTTTGAGCAACATAAACACCACGACATCTTATTGCGTCCCAGACATACGGTGTCATTCGCACCCTTCCTCTTGATTCCCTTACATGCCACACCCATGTGCACACCTGTTCCGATCACATCCACCGTAAAGAAGCAGCGTCCTGACAGCGGCTGGCAGCACAGGACCTGGTTGCACTTGTCAAATCTTTCGTCATTAGCAGGAAGCTGTTGCTTCTCCCTCTTACAAACAGCTACTGTGTTGTTCTCGTTCAGATAGAGGTATTCGTTAGCCGTCCGAGGGTCAAAGGTGAGCGTGACAGCATCTAAAAACAAAGTGAGATTCATCAGAAAATACCAGCTTAAATATCTACAATTAGCATTAGCAATTAGCATATTGTGTGTAGATGACATAAAATACTTTAGGGAAGTCACATGCCATATTCCATCTAAAGCTATTTTTTGGTAATTCTTTCGATATTTTAATGCGGGCAGGTTTTTATGAACTCATGTAAATAAGAGAAATTTTTGCACTTCTATAAATCCATCTGCCACACCACAAGACCTTTTAAAATGAAATGGGAAAAGGTGTTAAAATGGTGAAGTAGTTACAGCAACTACAAACAGACATTCATCTACATTTTAACCTACAATCTTTGTGATGATCCACGATTAAACTCACATTGGTACAGTCCTGGTTGGTGACTGCAGACTCCTCCAGTGTAAATTCTAGTTAGTTAGAGTTAGAGTTAGGGTTAGTATCGGTTACTATGTTAAGACTAGTATCACACCATTGCACATTTATTGAAGCACAATTTAAACATGAATAGATAGTCTCTCGTTTCACCTTTACAGTAGTCACTACAGTGCTTGTATATTAAAGTAGCCTAAAGGAAGTATACTTGAACACAACAGTGAACAATTCACTGAATGGCTAGGAAGAATCAAAGTCCTCACTACAAGTTTCATAGGATCCCGTGGATGTTCATTCCAACCTTCCACATGAACCAATAGCAGATAAAAGCTACATTACCTCAGTGAGGGCTGCTTATACTTCCGTAGACAAACTTTCTTTTCCATGATG